CCTTGAAGCACACCCGGAAGTCCACCGGAAGCCAATGCAACTCACGCAGGAGAGGAGTCACATGGGAGCGCCCCGTCGCTCCCATAATCCCCTGCACGGCCGCATTCTGCACCAGTTGGAGCCTCTGGGTGCACGCCAAGGGGAGCCCCATGTAGAGAGTGTTACAATAGTCCAGACAAGAAGCGACGAGTGCTTGAGTGACCGTGCATAGGGAGTCCCGATCCAGAAAGGGGCGCAACTTTTAGTCCAATTCCCTGCCCATGGCAGGAGATCCTATATCATTCCAGACTTTCTTTAGTCTTTATTTTAGCAAGAGGTTCTCTGCCCAGTTGCTGGTGGGCATGGCCTAGTCAGCCTCCTGCACTACAGTGGGGGAGGGGGTGTTTTTGCCCTCCCCAGGCTCTGGAGCTTTCTTTGAGCCTCCGGGAGGGCAAAAACTGCCTCCCCAGGCTCCAGAGGCCCTCTGGAGGCTGGAAATGGTCCCATTTCCGGCCTTCCCGAACTTCCAGTAGGCCCGTTTTTCACCCTCCCCGAGCCTCCGGGCGCGACCTGCACTTACCTGCATTCAAAACGGGCCGCATGGGGACTCTTGGGGGGGGTGGGGTGGGAGGGGCCCACCAGGAGTGGGATTTGGGGGTTCTCCAAACTGCACAGAATCTTAGCTAGAGGTTCTCCCGAACCCCTGAGAACCCCCCAGCAGCCCACCCCTGGATACATGTTATCATAGAAAGAACAGAATAACAGAACAGAATAATAGAGGTGCAAGGGATGCCAGAGGTCCAACCCCTACCCTCCACCCAAAAGGAGACCTTCTACCATTCGAGACAAATAGCTGTCCTGTCTCTTCTTGAAAACCTCCAGTGATGGAGCATCCACAACTATTGGAAGCAAACTGTTCCACTGGGTAATTGTTCCCACTGTCAAGAAGTTTCTCCCTAGTTCTAGGTTGCTTGTTTCCTTGATTATTAATCCCAGAATATTGAGGATTAGATGAAAAGGGGAAGATAAAATAGGGTGTATGTTGTAGAAGAATAGAATTCCTTGTGTGAATTACATTTCCTGCTGTCTGGAATGTAACTGTCTGGAATGTGAATTCATTGCAACAATGAACAGCAAGCCTAGTGAGAAAAGAGGAAGAACAAATATATTGTCCATGGACAGGAAGTAAAACCAATATTCTTACAAAAAGTGCTTTATTTCTACTTTTAATATTCCTGCGGAACAGACAGTGTTGATATTAACTGTACTTACTTAGAAAAGGACCACACCACACTTAAAAATCTTTAAATTGCAATTATCTGTTACAGCAATATAAGAGATACAGTTTTACAGACATGAAAGAATGAATTACTTATGAGATCCAGAAAAGTTAAATGAAGAAAAGTGATGAGAAAATGAAGAAAATGAGGAAATATAGAATGTTCTGATAATCACAAAGTAAATTGCTCTTAAATGATGAAAAGGGACCGGGGATGGTGTGGACATCAGAATCTAGAAGATGTTCATATTGAAATATCACTTTTTTCAGGCATGAAAAAAGGGATAAAGTTTTAACTGAAGATTTTGATACACCAGTGGACATCACTGAATGGGATATAGTCATACATAGATCTCAACTGATGTTACTAGTATGGACATTTTCTATAACATTTTCCTACACTTTGAAAAAATTAACAGAGAAGGATGCTATTAATAATGACCAAAGATAGGTCAACACTTAACTGCAGTTCCCAGAAATCTTTGAAGAAAATGTGATAAAAACAATACAAGAAATAGACAACTCTGTTGTTTTTTTAAATATCAGTATGCTTGAGATTGATCTGTCAGTTTCGTCTTTCGGGATAATCAATTGAGTAGCTTCATTCACACCATCTTAAGGTGCTTGTTTGTGAGTTGTACAGCTCACTGAATAGCTTACTGAAAACGTACAAAAAGCTTCCTTGGTTAATCAGGATCCATCCGATTTAGGATTTTCAATAGTGAACAGCCCAATATCTCTGGAAGCTTCCCACCACCTGTAGGAAGATGGTGATCACTTTATTCCCCCAGACCTGAGTAACTAATACATTTCTACTGAGTACCTTGGGTAACAGTTATTAATGGGTTAATAGAACTCAGATCCACAGAAATTACTGTTTTGAAATTTTTCATAAAAAGGGAAGGGGATTAGAAACTCTTAAATCTCTACCTTTGAGGCTTCTTGCGGAATTGCAAATCCAGATGTCAAAACAATGAGAGAGGCAATACTAAATGCAGCATGGCAGCTGTTTATCATCTGTAAATGTTGGAAAAGAAGACCATGTGAATGACCTATTAGAAGGTATACTCTCTTCACTCTCCTTTTCACTTCCTCAAAAGCAAAGTTTAATTTTTTTCCATGAATTTTAACTTCAGGTCATTTCGATTTTATAATTTGCAGGACCTGTTGGGTTATTGATATGGGCAGGTGAAACATCACTCCAGACTTAGATTTGCTATTTATGTAACTGATCGTCAAGTGGAAAACTGCAAGCATGCTGTTTGATAACATGGGTTTGTCTGTCACCTCTCATTGTTCCTCTTCAAAGTACAGTTGCCACTTTATCTGGCAACAGCTTTCTTTAAGAGTGCTCTGTATAAGAAATCATGTTTCATCAGAGTTTTCTAAGCAGAAGAGAATTTCAGCCCGTGGGCAATTAATTTTGTAAATATGCATATTATAACTGAACAATAATAGGGAAGACAGAAGTTTCCAGAACAGATAATGGATCGAAATACTCTTTTCTTCACCAAAATCTCCCTATTTGTTCTGCCAATGTCATCCAAAACAGATTATTTTTCTTTCATGAATTGTCCTCCTGAATGATTTATACCTGTTGTGTTATCTGAAGCCCTTTTGAGATCCTCTTTTAGATACAGCCAGCCATTAGTTGAACAATTGTTAATTTTAATCCTATAAAAGTTTTTGATGCCAGACAGAACCAATGCCAGTGTTCAAGGGGAGAATTAATTGTAATGTATCTTACATTTACAGTGGCTTTCCAGTTTCCAGTTGCATATTTTTTTTAAAAAAAATAAAAGTTATATATTGATTCTGAGGCAAAGACCTATACTTTCTATAAATATCTGGACTAACATGAAACATAAAAGTTATTTCTTGGCTTGCTGAGAAGATTTATCCAGAAAGTGTGACAGGGCAGTTCCCTGACTCTGAGGTACATCAGATCCCTCTCAAACAAAGGCAGATTTATGTGATGATAAAATATCCAATAAGCACCTCTGTATTTCCAAGAAGGAAGACCTGAGAAGACAAGAGAGGGAGCAAGGGACAGAAAATATAAGGTTCCACCAAAATGTAGTTAGAACAGATGGATGGTTTACATCAGTGGTGGGATTCAAGTAATTTAACAACCAGTTCTCTGCCCTAATGATTTCTTCCAACAACCAGTTTGCCAAACTGCTCAGAAAGTTAACAACCGGTTCTCCCGAAGTGGTGCAAACTGGCTGAATCCCATCACTGTTTTACATGTAGATTTTGATCACTTTTTCCTATGAAAGCACAAAGTGGTTTATTTAGGGATCGCCTTTCTTTTTGACCCTGCAACAACTAACTTCTGAGGTAAATTGGATTAAAAGAAATTAATTGGCCAACATGAGTTTCCATGGCTGAGAAGGGAATAGAACTTGGGTCTCCCATGTTTTGTTCAACATCTAGTTCTGCCACTATTTCCACATAGTCAACAAGAACTGAATAGTCTTCTCTTCATATTTCACAATGTCATGGAGAGCAGTCAGTTTTCCTAGCATAGTCCATGCTACTACATAGTTTACTATGGTAAACTTTTGTAAAACCATACCTAGAGTACTGCATCCAGTTTTGGTCACCACACTATAGAAAAGATGTTGAGACTCTAGAAAAAGTGCAGAGGAGAGCAACCAGGATGATTAGGGGACTGGAGACTAAAACATATGAAGAACGGTTACAGGAACTGGGCATGGCTAGCCTAGTGAAGAGAAGGACCAGGGGAGACAGGATAGCAGTCTTCCAATATTTGAGGGGCTGCCACAGAGAGGAAGGGGTCAAGCTATTTTCCAAAGCACCTGAGGGCCAGACAAGGAATAATGGATGGAAACTGACCAAGGAGAGATTCAACCTAGAAATAAGAAGGAACTTTCTGACAGTGAGAACTATCAACCAATGGAACAGCTTGCCCTCAGAAGCTGTGGGAGCTTCATCACTGGAGGCTTTAAAGAAGAGATTGGACTGCCATTTGTCAGAAATGGTGTAGGGTCTCCTGCTTGATCAGGGAGTTGGACTAGATGACCTATAAGGTCGCTTCCAACTCTGTTAATCTAATCTAGACTCATGACGTTTTTCAAAAAACATAAACATTTCATGTACTGAATTCATTGGGACATTTCAAAAAGGGCATACCTTGATACCTTGGGACAACTCTATAAGAGAAGAAAAATTACTACTTTAAATGTCCTTCTGAAGATGTCCTTTAAAAACTACAACCAGACACTATCTCCTATAATGCCTCATTCAAGTTAGGGTTATCATAATTTGGGCTGCAAAAATACAGGTGAGTGCTAGACGTGAACAAGGAAGTATAGACTAAGTTGCTGTCATTCAGTGGTCTTCTAGAATTTTGCAGTCCAGATATAATAACCTTAAATAAGATAGGTAGATATTGAAAGGACAGACCAAGTGTCCTGATGTATGATGTAACTCAGCTTTGAATTCATTTCAAAGTCAGAGCCAATAGGGTGGATCAAAGGACTGATTGTTATATTGACAATGTCAGTTTAATTATGAAAAAGTGTATAGCAAATAAAATTATAATGCCACCACATTTTATATTTTAATTATTGTGCCTATTGTTCATGTTCATGTTAACAATTTAAACATTTAAAATGTTATCTGATGATTTTAATCAGTGGTTAGCTGTTAAGAGAAAGCAGGTTTTGAAAGGCAGCACACAAACATTTTATAAATTCAATAAAAAAAATAAAAATCCTTTTTGATTTCATGGACAGGATGTATTTATTTTCCCAAAAGACCTTTTAAGTCTAGTGGATTGGTAAATCTAATGTTAGTTGATATGTTTTATTTTCTGCTCTTGTTTTTGTTTTTTGGAGCTTGTTTGAATGCTGCTCACATTTTTCTGTATTTTTTTTTAAACTTGGTATGTCCAGCTTCTTTTTGCTTATTCTCTTAGACGTTGTGCCAGGGCATTGGGGAGAAGGGTATGAAAAACATTAAGATGGTTGTTGTAACAATGCAGTTGAATGGTTGGGCTTCAACCATGTGATTGTGACTTCCATTTTGACTTTTCCTTCCTCCCCTGCAGATGTCCTTGGAATTTCTGGAAAATATTTAAATTGTAGATATCAATCAATTGTCTTAAAGACTGAATATCTAACTTTAGAAGCAGCTCAAACAAGACCATACAAACTGAACTTGGAGAAATTGGTTCTACTAAGAAACATTGCAATATCATCCAGAGCTTTTCTGGATTGGCGAATTGGTGAAATAATCTTAAAAATAGCCAAACAGCAAAAAATTATACTTTTTTTTTTTTTTTAGCTTAAAGCAGTTCCCATTTTTTCACCATCCATTTTCTTGAATTTGTGAGGGTTTTTAAAAAAAATAAACTGAACGTAAACTAGGCGGAATGGTAGACAGAATTTCAAAGGAGCAATTGAAAACCAGTGATTTTCTAAATTGATGATAGTATGTTCTTAATTTTTCTTTCAAAACCATATTATGGGGGGGGGCCACATTTACCCTTCCTGCCCCCCCCCCGCAACAGCAAATAAGATATGGCCCAATCAACCTTAAAGACTGTGTGAAGAGTATGCATAATAGAACAACCAGATATATAAATAGAATAATACAAAGAAATGTAATCTGCTACCAAAGCTGTAATTCAATCCTTTTCCAACACAACTGCAGACAAAACTGGGTTATGAATAAGCTTTACAGTCCATAGACTGGACTCTACAACCGTGACTGGGTATAAAACCTCAAATGATTGTTGTCAGCTAATAAGGCAGAAAAATAAAGAAACTTAATGACTGTGTCAGAAAGAGGAAATATTAGTAAATACTAATTTTGGATTAAGGGTACAGCAAAGAAGCCTGTTCCACACCTCCTTCCGTTGTCCTGCAAAGCTGATCATCTTTTCTTAGTCACGCACAGCCCATTTCCTTTATTCTTCTTTTCTCCTTTTAAAGGCAGGGCATACAAATGCAGGAACAGGAGGAAGACAATTAATTGCAGGAATGTTTCCCTTTTATTATTTTGGCCACTTCTCTTCCTATCAAACCAAGAGGACAAACAGAAGCTAAAACGAGTTTAACGTTCATAAAAGATATTGTAATGTACTGGAGTGCCAGCAGGGGTGAAATGCTCCCGGTTTGGATCGGATCACCCGATCCAGTAGCGATGGAGGCGGGTGGTTCGGAGAGCAGGTAGCAAAAATCCTTGTCTCCCCCCGCCACTACCCAGCTGAGCCGCACAATCATCAGAGGCTTTTTTTTTTACTTTTAAAAGCATTTTTTCTACAACCTCTTTGGCCGAAAAAATGTTTTTAAAAGTAAAAAAAAAGAAGCCTCTGATGATTGTGCGGCTCAGCTGGGATCGTCAGAGGCTTCTGAAAGCATTTTTTCTATAACCTTTTCAGAGCCTTTTTTTCTTTTAAAAGCCTCTGACGATCCCAGCTGAGTTGCCTGATCATCAGAGACATTTAAAAGAAAAAAAACCTCTGCCGATCAGGCAACTCAGCTGGGATTGTCAGAGGCTTTTAAAAGCATTTTTTACAACCTCTTCGCTGAAGAGGTTGTAGAAAAAATGGTTTTAAAAGTTTTTTTAAAAAATGGCCATGTCCACCCAGTCACATTACCCCCCGCCCACCAAGCCACGCCCACAGAACCAGTAGTAACAAATTTTAGATTTCACCACTGAGTGCCAGCTATAGATTTTGAGGGTCCTCTAAGGACCAGACCAACCCCTCACAACGTATCCTCCTTCTTGGTCATCTTCACTTCTGCTTCCGCTACCGTATTGACGTATTGATGCAACCATATAGTGGGAGAAGCCAAGACAAAAAACCAAGTCACTATTTTAGCTCCAAACTCTCAGAATCAGACATGGGCTCTTATAAAGCTCCTGCCAAGAAGGAAAATAAGATGGGTTCATATTTGTTTGCCTACTTGAACATTTCTTCTATCTTATTTACTTGCTTCTTAATCTTGTATCAATACATTATTGACAGCCCCATGGGAAAACAATGTCTATTGTGTTTGGTATGTGGTTGTACACAGGGGTGGGTTTCAAAAATTTTAGTCAGGGGTTCTCTGCCCAGTTGCTGGGTGGGTGTGGCCATCGTAGGCATGGCCTAGTCGGCCTCCTGCACCATAGCGGGGGGGCGTTTTTGCCCTCCCCAGGCTCTGGAGGCTTTGTTTGAGCCTCCGGGAGGGCGAAAATGGCCTCCTGGTAGGCCTGTTTTTCACCCTCCCTGAGCCTCTGTGCACACCCTGCACTTACCTTCATCCAAAACAGGCCGCGTGAGGACTCCTGAGAGGGGTGGGGTAGGGTAGGTGGGGTCAGCCAAGAGTGGGATTTGGGGGTTCTCCAAACTGCACAGAATTTCCCAAATCTGCACAGAATTTCACAGAATCTCCGGAACCCCTGCAAATCCCCAGCAGCCCATCCCTGGCTGTACAAAATCTGCTTTGTAATTTCAAGGTTTCCTCCCTTCAGAAAGAGGTTACTGTTTTTCTATGTTGAGCATTTCTCGAGCATTCATTTCCCAAGTTTCTTTTTGATATTATTTAACTTCCTTTATTGCTCTAAGTGATAAAAAGTTGCCACTGTTGATGTCTATTACACACTTTTCTATCGCTCTGAAACCTCCCGAAACCATACTTTCTCAGTCTTCCCTCAGAATTTAACATGGAGGCCACTGACTGATGGAAAGTGGTGTGCAATGAAGTGCAAGCCATTCACACACAAACATCTTGGCCATCTTGCATGCACTTGCATAAGTGCAAAAATATTGTATTCCATCCATGAAAAATTCACTGAAATTTTTGTTTCCTTTGGAAAAAAAAAATCAAAAGCAAATGCTTTTTCATTACATTGATTGAGGATTGATAAAATTAAAACTAAATTAAAATTAAATTAATAAAACTAATATTGGACAACTTTTCCACACAGCACTAGCCTAACATTTCTGTGCATCCATATAGTCTTTAGTCTCAACTTGTTATTTGACTGCATGCATTGAGCCATCATTAATCTATAATAGGGACGTCAAAGTCAAGGCCTAGTATTTAAATCTGGCCCATGGTTCTGACCTGGAAATAGCAAAGGACCAGCCCGCGGTGCCTCTGGTAGCCAAAACAGGGCACGGGGGGGGCTGCACCAGGGGTGGGTTCTACTTACCTTTACTACTGGTTTGCATCGTACCCACTCTTCTGCACATGCACAGATCACTTATGATGACGTCCGGATCAGTGGGCAGAGCCTCCTGCTAGTTTAACTACAGCTTTTATTGAACCGGTCCAAACCAGGAGCAACCCACCACTAGGCTGCGTATGTCCCTCCTTGCCCTGTTTTGGCAGGCGAAGTGCTGCAGGAAGCTGTCCAGGCCAAAAAAGGGGCACAGGGGACGTCACGTGGGCCTCCATGCCCCATTTTGGCTGGCAGGGTACTGCAGGAGGTCTCCGTCATGTCTTTCCCTCTGCCTGGCTGGCCCTTGGAGAAGAACTACAATGCTGATCTGGTCCTTCCTTGAAGAAATTGTTTTGGCCCACCAGCGGCCTGTGCGGATCGTGGCTGATCCCAACGATGAGGAGGCTGGTGTGGTGTCACACCAGCAGCCGGCACAGCTGGCGCTCGCGTCAGACAGTGAGGAGGCTGAAGAGGATGTGGTGCCAGAGGCAGAGACTCAGCCAGGACCTTCAGAACCTCCAGAGGCTCCTTCAAGTGGAGAGAGCGAAGTGGAGGAGCCTCTCCTCAATGCTCGAGCATGCAGGGCTGCCAAAAGGCAGGAGTGGCTACTCAGGAGGAAGAGGTCTCCTCGAGAGTAAGGTTTGAGGATAATTGGCCACTCCCTTAGCCTATTTAAGTCACACGCCGTTAGTAAGTTTCTTGCTATAAACAACTCGTATTTATTATCAGAGTATTTTGGTTTATCATATCTTGTTTTCTGGGCTGGTTGCCAACCTTTGCCGGTCTTGTTTATTCTTGCTACTTAATAAATTTGATAAGAACCATTGGTTGTGTCAATATCCTTGGAAATCCGGAGCTGGGGCAGAACAGAAATCCAGTTTTACACCCCTGATCTATAAGAACTATAATAGTTGTGTCATTACCTTATTGTATTTTCTTTTTCAATACAATGACTAAAAATGCCACATAATGCACAAGGCTTTAGCTTACTTCTATTTGATGTCATCAACGTTTGGCCTTTTTCTGGAAAGAATGAATTTGATCTATAAGCTTCCATTTTTCTGGAAAAGCACGGAGGCCATTATGAAGAGTAATCCAATCTAATTAAAAGAGATTGGAGATTAGGACCAGCATAACACTGCTAGGCCTCCATGTCTTCTGGAAGTAATGGCAATTCAGCAATAATACATATCCTATAAGTTGGCTCAGTGCTTTAACTTATTCTTGTAGGTATCTCTAGAGGTTAAATTTGGCTGAATTGACTGAAACCCAGTGAGACTCCTTTAAGGCATATACGGGTTGGCCTTCAAGAAAATTAATATATAGGTAGTGCTCCACTTATGACCACAACTAAATGAACTGTTGTACGTCAAGGACTACCTGTACTTGGTAAAGGCAATTTGCTAGCCTCATCTTTTCTTTTCTTTTTTAGCAAGTTGCAAAAGCACTTTTTATGACCTCTAAGTACCTTCCCCAAGATAGTTTTGAGAATATTGTTGACTCCTTGGTTTGGGATATTACCCAAGATACATTTATATCTAATGCTCTTTGAAATACTGTGCCTACAAACAACAGCTTTCCAAGAATTATTGCAGAAGAAAGAAGTAGATCTAGGATTACAAGTTTAGGTGCAACACATTGTCAGCTAATTGTCTGGTGTTATTGTCAGATTTCTTAGGAAAATATCAACCCCCGTTTTTTTCATTGTCATCCACACAGAGCAAACATTACAGAAGAATCTTGTCTGAAAGAATAATGGAAGACAAGCAGTGGTGGGATTCAAAAAATTTTACTACCCATTCTGTGGGCGAGGCTTGGTGGGCATGGCATGGGAAGGATACTGTAAAATCTCCATCCCCACCCCACTCCAGGGGAAGGATACTGTAAAATCTCCATTCCCTCCCCATTCCAGGGGAAGATTACTGCAAAATCCCCATTTCCTCCCGATCAGCTGGGACTCGGGAGGCAGAGAATAGATGGGGGCGGGACCAGTCAGAGGTGGTATTTACCGGTTCTCTGAATTACTCAAAATTTCCGCTATCGGTTCTCCAGAACTGGTCAGAACCTGCTGAATACCACCTCTGAAGACAAGTATGAATAACTAAAGATGACCGAGGTCAGTGTTGTGAGATTATTTTTCTGCAATGGGTATACGGGAATTAGAAGTCAGAAAAGTTGTCTCTAGTCCTGTTTTTGCTTCCAAGTATTTACTATGTTTTTGTGTGTGCCATATTAGCTTCCTCTATTTTTAGTCCTCAGTAAAATCTATTGCCCATTCTCCCAACTATTTTGAGCTCCTTCTCCCATTAGGGATAAATAAACATGCTTGCAGTTTATACAGAGCAAGATCACTGAGCTGATTTACTAAACAGCGTATCTGTGAGCACTTGGATAGACATCTATAATAAATAGGAGCCAGTCTGGATTTATTGCAAACAAATCATGCCAGACCATCCTTATATCCTTCTTCGATAAAGTTATTAACGTAATAGATCAGAGGAATGCCAAACAGATAGTGTAACAAAACCTTACCAAAGCCTTTGACAGAGCATATCAGGATGCCCCCACATAAAATGATGAAACATGGCTTGACCTTGTTACTGTTAGATGAACTCAATGATGGCAAGGAATATTGGATATAATCAGGGGTGGGTTCTACTTACCTTTACTACCAATTTGCATCGCATCCACGCGCACGCTCTTCTGATCACCTATGATGACATCCGGGTCAGTGGGCGGAGCCTCCCGCCGATTTTACTACCAGTTCTTGCAAACCGGTCCAAACCGGGGACAACCCACCACTGGATATAATGTGAAGCTTGAACAATGGGGAAATATGTGAACGAAGGGTTTAAAATTTACATTAAATTATAATCTAAAAGAAAATTTCTATAAAATGATGTATCATTGGTATTTAACACCAGATAAGTTAACTAAGACGTATAAAGGCATGTCAAATGAATGCTGGAAGTGTAAAAGTAAAAAAGGGACTTTTTATCATCTATGGTGAAGATGTGATAAAGCAAAAAGATTTTGGTGTATGATTCATATGTTAATAAAGAAAATTTTGAAAATGGAGGTAAAAATTAAACCAGAACTTTTCCTTTTGGGCCTAATGGAAAAAGAACTGGAGAAAAAACTTGGAACTTTAGATGTTGACAGCAGCAAGACTATTGTATGCACAAAAATGGAAGGACACTTCAGTTCCTACCATGGACGAATGGTTGCAGAAGTTGATGGAGTCGGCTGAAAGTCAGAGTTTCATTCTTTTCCGCATCAAGCACAAAGTTCAGAAATGGTTTCCATGTAGAAACAAAAGTACGTATGTAACATACTGACTTTTCAGAGGTGGTATTCAGCAGGTTCTATCCAGTTCTGGAGAACCGGAAGCTGAAAGTTTGAGTAGTTCGGAGAACCGGTAAATACCACTTGTGACTGGCCCTACCCCCATCTATTCTCTGCCTCCCGAGTCTCAGCTGATCGGGAGGAAATGAGGATTTTGCAGTAACCTTCCCCTGGAGTGAGGAAGGAATGGAGATTTTACAGTATCCTTCCCCTGGAGTGGAGTGGGAATGGAGATTTTACAGTATCCTTCCCCTGCCACGCCCACCAAGCCATGCCCACCAAGCCACGCCCACAGAATCGGTAGTAAAAAAAATTGAATCTCATCACTGGTACTTTTATTTCCACATGGGAACCACTTCTGAACTTTGTGCTTGATGCGGAAAAGAATGAAACTCTGACTTTGGGTTTTACAGATTAGAGTGATAGATCTTTACAGAAATGTCTTGTTCATACTATTATGGAAAAGCAAAAAGTTGTGATTTGATTTTAATGCCTTATTTTATTGTAACAGAGAGAGTCGGAAGTCAATGCTTCCTTTTCCTTTCCCTATCTGTCCTCACTTCTCTTTTCCTTCCCCCCCACCCCCCCCTTTTTTATTTACTTTTGTATCTTACAATACTTTATAACTCAATAAAAATGTTAAACTAAAAAAAAAAAGATGAACTCACTGATGGCTAAATGTTTGCACCCAGAGTGCTCCTTGCTGGCTCCACTTCAGCCTGGAGGGAAATACTGTTCCATCCCAGAGCAGAGAAAGATAGAAACACGCCCTCCCATGAAGGTAAGATGAGGTGAGGTGAGTGGAAGTTAGTTAGCAATAGCAATAGCACTTAGACTTATATACCACTTCATAGTCCTTTTACAGCCCTCTCCAAGCAGTTTACAGAGTCAGCACATTGCCCCCAACAATCTGGGTCCTCGTTTTACTCACCTCGGAAGGATGGAAGGCTGAGTCAACCTTGAGCCTGGTGAGATTCGATCTGCCAAACTGCTGGTGATCAGCAGAAGTAGCCTGCAGTACTGCACTCTGACCACTTTGCCACTGCGACTCATAGTTAGCTTAAAAAGTTCTGTTCTCCCCGTTTTGTACCTTTGATTGCCAGTTATATTGCACTGTACCAAAATGATAGGATGTTTTCCTTGATCTGGTAATGGCTAAGAATTGTGCGAATGCAATTCCAGCACAGCTGAAGAGAAGGTTGGGGAAGGCTACGGTAGGAGATGGTCTTAGAAGGGAGACAGAGAAAAAAAATCTGAAATAATATTTTGCTCTGCTTTGCCCCGCGCCCCCTCCAAATCCTCTGTCATGTTCAGTCCTGTGTGCGCCATTACTTGGCTAGATGAAGCTCCATGACTTTTCAGAACTGACAGGTATAGATATTTCTAAAGACAAAGGGAATTGCAAATAAGCTTTTTGATCTGCTGATGTTTTTCTTTTCCTTCTTGTTTTTGTTTGTTTGCGTTGGAGCAATTTAATATTCCACAGATCTCAGAACTTTTTTCTCCCAATTAAAAAAGCAAATCAACTGGAATGCCTAGAGGAAAACTGGCTCTTTCAATTTATTGCTTTGCCATCATACTCTTTGTGTTATGGGAGCCAAAGTAAACTATCTACCTCTGTTCTGGAATCCAGATATATGTGAGCTTTCTGAGTCTTTTCTTTTTGGAAAAGAAAAGAAAGCCTGAAGAATACTTGTTAATGTGACAAACAATTGGGCTTAAATATACAGAAAATGAATACCAATTGCTGCTCCGGTGGTGCACAACAGGTTTATGGGTGGTCTACGGAATCCTTTTTTTCTGCTCCCAAAAAATTGGTGGCCTATTGATTGTTGACAATTACCAAAAATCTATATGTGAGTCACAGGATTATGCCATTACACCTCTAATTTTTTTAAAAAAGCCCAACTCTCCCCTATATAAATATTCTTCTCTTGGAAATCAGTCTACTCAACTATATATTATTCATCCCTGAAGCATCCAGAAATAGACCTAAAATATCTCTTGAGCCCGAAATGTTTAGGTGTTCTTGCTGTAGGTTGCAAGAACATAGGAATTCTAGCAGTTATGGGTATGTCCCATTTGCCTTAAGGATTATTTTATGGTGCATATTCTTGGGAAAACAGCTTCCACAACTAGCAGCGATGTCGTATTTTCATTGTGCAGTTATTTATGGCTTCTTTATTATGTGGTTATTTATTGCCTTCCTCCCATGCAAGGAAATTTGCGTTAATTTTATGGGTTGTCTGCGCTCCAACCAGATTCAGACTTGCTTGGGTCCAACAAGGGTATTCTTTCAATTTTTCTTCAAAATAATCTTGGAATGTAGCTGGTGAACTCTTTTTAAAATGTTCTTATTAGAACTACATTCAGAGTTGCATGAGTAGACTAGGCAACCTTCTGTGTGGGATTGGGGAAAATATTAGGAATTTCTTGTTGAAGGACTTCACAATGAGGTATTGGGGCCTCTCAAAAAGATCTTACTTTCATTTGTGTTCCTTCTCTTGGGTCTTCAAAGTAATTCTTCAGAAAATGATCTGTTGGGCCACCTTGGTTTTCTACAAAACTTCTCTCTCATTTTTTTCCTCCTTCATCCAGAACCACAATGCCTATCCCCATAATACAGACACTGGGCTTTGTAGGTTGCTGTGACAACTAACATCACAATGGGTATATTCATACAACCTACTTAACGAGATGTGTAAACCACTGAAAGACTTAGCAGGCACATTTGCACAATATGCTATGCCTGACTACTATTCTATTAATCTTAGCTAGGGTGTGTGTGTGTGTGTGTGTGTGAGAGAGAGAGAGAGAGAGAGAGAGAGAGAGAGAGTCTGACAATGTTGCCAACCAACCAACTAGTGTGGTTATTTTACAGTTCAGTATATTATGCATACCAGAGAATGAATTAATTCAGTACCCAGGTGAGGTTAAACGTGTCTTGTGAATGCAGCCATCTTGTGAAAAGACTCCACCAAAAATTGCCCATGTCACTGTCGGATGCTGAAAATGCCCCACGGATTATCTGTGCTTATGTCTGTCTGAAAATTAGCACATGAATGATCTCCGCTGAAAATCACTGTGTGTGTGGTAGCTTTCGATCAGCACAACACTCACTTGTGTCCCTATCACTGGGAATGTCTGCAGCCCTCCCAGAGCAGTTTGAGCCCCGGAATGAATGAATACCCTTCCAGTTCTGGGATTTCTCTAAATCAGGCCAAATGTGACGAAAGTCAACGTGCAGCGCTCATAAATCTTGGGGATAAAGAGAGAAAACGATACAAATGAGGAATGCAGTCTTGCAAGTGTGTTTAAGGGCCTGGCAACTTTTGACAACTGAAAGCAATGTGGAATTGGTGGCGGAGACCTACACAAAGAAAAATGTCAACTTTGAAGGGAGGGTATGGAAAGGCTTTCGTGCACAAACAAAGCCTCAAAAACACAAAGTGCCTCTCGAAATAGCAGAGTGATAAGTCTATTGAGCGTGTGAGTCATCTTTTCAGTGGCTGAGAATGATTAGGTGCAGATTGCCATCAGGAGAACCATAATTCTCTCCCCACAGTTTGTATCCCTTTTTAAAAAAAAATCTCTAGTGCTTGCCCAGTTATTACGACATTCAAATTGCCAACATCAAACTGGATTTTTATTTTTATTTTTTTGCTTGGAGCATTGTTGATCAGCACCAAAATCATAAAACCAGTGTCTTTGCAGAGCTATCTCTGCAGCGAAAGGGTCAAAACTGCCAAAATGGCTGCCTTTTGCAGCCACCATTTTGATACTCCTTGGCCTTCTCCCTGTGGACACCCTTCTTGTTTAATGAAGCCCAAGTGCCTCAGGAGGAGACAATAATGTATGCTTCCCTCAAAACTTAGAAGTAGGAGAACCACATAAAAAATGTCTAAAGTCCTTAACCAGCCATAGATCCTTCCTCTTAAATTCCCAGCTTTTTCTAAATCCCAGCTCTGTGCAATAACTTATTCAAATAAACTGTTGCAATTTATATTCTCTCTGTCTCTCTCTCTCTCTCACACACACACACAACTCACACACTCACACAGAGAGAGTTTATTAATGTTGTTTTCATCTTTGACATGGTAATGCATCTATTCAGGAGGTGCCTGACCAACAGAATAAAGGCTCTGGGTTTGGATTGTGTTAAGTGCTTAAAATGCAAATCGGCTCCCTTGCACAAGATGACTTTCTCGTTATTCCTCCATAATTATATCGATACCATTGCATCATCCCAAGAATTAGCACATAATGAAGACAATGTTCACTTAGCTTCAAAGCAACTGGATTCATTTAAACCATCCACTCCTAATTAATAATTTTCAAGGGCCTAAAATAAGAACATGATGAATGACAACAGGAACCGGCTTCTGCTGAAGTCAGTGGAAAATCTGCTAGAGAGTAGCAGGGAGTAAGGTGAGAATGATTCCGGTGTTGGCATGATGGGAAGAATTCAAAGTAGCAGACACCTTGCAAACATCTGGAACTGCAGAGTATAAAAGCCCTTTATATTGGAGGGAGCGTTGTCATACTTTTAAGAAGGTTGACACATTAAAAATATTGTTTCCAACTACAAGAAACAACCATTCTATACTCTTCTTCATTGCTCAGATCACACCTATGTCCAGCTCTAGACGCTATATTTTAATACCATGTTTCCCCAAAAATAAGACCCTGTCTTATATTTTTTGAACCCCGAAATAAGCGCTTGGCCTTATTTTCGGGGAGGTCTTATTATTTTGGGGCGCGTGAAGCAAGACGGGGCTCCTCTTGCCATTTTACCTGATTTCCAGCGCTGTCTCCCTAACTCTAACCAGAGGAAATGGCGGGCACTGGCTGCACGTGCGTTTAAATATTTCCGGGAAAGGCTTATTTTCAGGGGGGGCTTATTTTAGCGCATGCACTCAAAAGCCCGATTGGACTTATTATCAGGGGATGTCTTATTTTGGGGGAAACAGGGTAATAATTTAGACAAACTCAAATAGGGCAAAGAATCTGGCAAGGGAATGGAAGCAAAGTCCTACCACAAGATGATTATGGGAGAATCAGGTAACCCTCTTCAATTTCTGGAAGAGGCCTGACACAAACGAAGGTCAAAATTTACCCTCTATTATCCCAGCATGGAGGGCAAGGAAATTTTCACAAGGTGGAAGATTCTGGTTGAAAGTTAGGAAAAAATTAGAAACGTTTGCTGTTAAACCGGTTACCCTCCCCCGCTTTTTTAGATACGTTCAGAGTGAAACTGTCCAGCCATCTGAAAAAGTCACTTTATCTACAATTCTGTCCTGTCCCACTCACTCACTCACTCTCACACATACACCACAGGTGTAAGGAATCTTTATTAAGGCATCCAAGCCTGAATTGGTATTGCCCAGCAATTCCCTCTGCTGGCACCAGCTCAACCCCAGTGAGTTCCACAGGCTGCTCAAATGAAGCCAACTAGTTCTCAAGGCAGAGGCTAGTCCAGTCCACTAGGATAAAGCAAGTTCCCAAGGCAAAAGGCAAATCCACAGGCAAAGGGGAGGCAAGGGAAACAGCCAGTGGTGAAATCCAAACTTTTTTACTATCAGTTCTGTGGGTGTGGCTTGGTGGATGTAGTGTGGCTTGGTGGGCGTGGCTTGGTGGGCATGGCAGGGGAAGGATACTGCAAAATCTCCATTCCCATCCCACTCCATGGGAAGGATACTGCAAAATCCCCATTCCCTCTGTTAGGATATGGTTTGAGCCTAACAAGTTGTCCAGGCAATATATGTGTTCTGTAACTTTAATATGAATATGTATTGTGTCACTTTAAAGTTTTACTGCTGATTCATTGTAATGCTGAGTCATGCTGTAATTAGATAATCACTAGTGAACGTATTTAAGAAAGATACTGTATTCAGTTGATGATAAGCTACCATAGTGTGTGCTATCCATTGTGCTATCATCGGTTGGATGGATCTGCTACCATCGTGGTTTGTGAACCACAGTGAGTTTGTTATTCTAACCAACTACTGTTTGTGTGGTAAGAAGATTTTTGTATCACTGGAATGATTTAACTGGGAAAAGACTTGGATTGATTTAAAGACTATGAGATTGTTTTTTCACTATAAAGTAAACTTTTGATAAACCAGTTTGCACATCTCTTATTCATTACTCTCAGTAACGTTTTTCTGTGCTCTACACTCTGCTGGTTGGTAACACAACAACAATATCCTTAACACCCTCCCCACTCCTGGGGGAACGATATTGCAAAATCTCCATTCCCATCCCACTCT